AAAGGTGGAGGATTCACCCAAAGTCCAGACTATACCTGCCTAAGAGCCAGAGTTACACGTCCGTCCATGGGCAAGATTAAGTCAAGACTGGATTCTAGGGTCCAGGACGGGCGTGGCAACTTTGGCTGACTTAATCTGATTGGGCAGGAATACAGTCTACTACCCATGGGTGGATCCTCCATCTCCAGTGCTGGAGAACATTTTTTCTGCCATTCCCTCCTGCATACATATTTTGTAGAGCAGAGATTGAAATTATTATTGAACTAAAATGATTATCCCAATCAATATGTTAATCAGAAATGTAATCAACTCACTTATATAAAACTAATAATCTATAATAGTAACAGCAGATGATGCCATAATAATTCCAAGATTTAAAATAATCCTGGAAAGATCTAGCACAGATTAAGCACATCCTATTTACAATGTCATCATTTTACAGTAATTGTATTTTAATATGTTTAATATGTACTTGGAGTCACTCCAAAATTCTATCCCTTGTAACAGATGACTTTCTACCAAAAATAGAAAAAATGATCCACCAAAATATATCTGTTTAAACAGTAAAATGATGACATGTGATCTACATGCTCATTATTTAATATGAAACAATATGAGATCATATCTATATAGTGTTTAGCAAAGAAACATTTTCTCCCCACAGGCACTAATGTAAAATACATTTGCCTTTTCTAGCTTTTTACTTAACCTAACTAAAAAGAAAAAAGAAACATATCGCATAGATACAGTTAAAATAATTAATTACATTAGTGCTGATGAAATTTTTAATAGCTAGTTTATTAGCTATTAGATCACTTCTAGCTAATGCAGGTTTTATGTCTTAGATCCATTATTAAAACAATGATGCAAATATGAATAACTTGCATTATTACATCTTTTTCTAGCTAATGCCTGCTTTATAAACTATCTTGGATCTATTGTCAAAACAATAATAGAAATACAAATAATAAATTGTCCATAGGATACATACAAGGCTTTAAAAAATACACAAAACCCAACTTCAAATAAAACAACATATACTAAACTGATTTTACAGAACATGATTGCTTCAGCTTTAGAACTGTATAAGAAAAAACATTAGATAGTCCTTTACTTCTGATCACAATTGAGCCCAAAGTTTCTGTTGCTAAGCAAGACAGTTAAGTGAATTTTGCCCCACTCTACGACCTTTCTTGCCACAGTTATTAAGTGAATCACAGCTGCTGTTAAATTAGTAACACAGTTGTTAAGTGAATCTGGCTTCCCCATTGACTTTGCTTATCAGAAGTTTGCAAAAGTTAATCACATGACCCCGGGACACTGCAACCATCATAAATATGAGTCAGTTGCCAAGTTGCCAACACTGAATATTCACAAATATCCTAACTTCCTAATGAGAGGTTAGATACATTAATTTCTTCAGTGAGGGAAAGAAAGAAACAGCTAGGATATAAGGAGGAGAAATAATACTATAATGTCTGGTTTAAAAATTGTACTGTAAATTTTAATTATTTGTCAACTGTATTTTCCAGTTCAGAGCTGCATGTTAAACAATAGACTGTATTCAATTGTGTCTTTCAACATTATAAAGATCTTTAACTCAGCAAAGGCCTTTAGGAATGGAAACTATTTTTAAAAAATGACAATTTATTCTGCAATACAATTTCCATACTTCTCCAGAAGTCCTATAATAATTAGGGGATAAAGTAAGATAATTACAATGAAGGCATCTCCAAATATCTTTCTTCTGTTTTCTGCACATGAAATAATTTCAAGGACTTTCTAATATTTCATAGTAATTCAAAAATTGTTTCCTGATTCCAAGTTTAAAATCTTTGGACTGAAACAGGCTTTCCTCCAGTGTAGGAAGAAATGATTCTAAACACACATACTGTACATAGGAACTGTATTTTAGAGAATATGGGAATAAAGTATTACACTTAGTCCCAAATGTATGAGATTATCAGTTTAGAGACAGGAAACCAAAGAGAAAGACCAGGCTACTTCTATTTGAAGATTTAAGTCTCCTATTACAGAAAGCAATATTCCATATGAATATATGCTATTACTGTATGTTTAACACAGTGCATAATGTAATATGTGCTGAAGATATACAGCATGTTCACATAATTCCCAACCAGAAAGAAAAAGATGGAAGTATATACTTGTATCCTGCAGAAATATTAAATCAACAATATTCACAATATTCACATTAGGAAAGCAAACTGTACATAAGAACTTACAAAATCAAAGTCACCATCCTGGGGAACTTTCCAGTTATCAGGGAAAACGTTCTTCGATATGTGATAAGATTCGTGTATATTCTGGTTGCAGTTTTCATTGGCCTTATTTTTGGAATCCTGTTTATCAAAATAGTCCATAAATGAAGGTCGCTGAGCTTGTGGTGATGTAGCATTTCCTGTTTTGAAAATAAGAAAATAGTCAAAATATGAAGAGAAACCAAAGAGTTCAAAGTGATTGTGCTGGCTGAAAGTTAACATTAATTAATTTTAAAAGTATTAATGCATTTTTACTAGAAATTAAGATAACATGTTACAGTGACAGTACAACCAGGTAGAAGACAATTAGAACAGAACCACACAAAATCATGTTTTAATTAAAGCAGTATACAAATAAGTGAACTATAAGCAACTGATAACCAATTTTGCACTGAAGTTAAATTGAAATGTAATTCCTTTCTATTCAGCAAGTGGGACCACCTTGTTGACCTGACAGTAAGTTAAAACTCAAGGAAATTTTTACTTATGAATAATGCTAAATTATTTTTTATAAAAAGTTATTTTATCATATAATTCATGGTTTTAAAAATTAATAATTATGTAATTGTCCAAAGGAAAATAACACCTTATCTGGCTCTTTAAGACCTAAGACAGACATGTCAAACACAAGGCCTGCTGGCCGGATGCAACCCGCGAAGTGGTTTCATGTGGCCTGCGAAGCCATCCTGGAAACAGTGAGGGAATGGCCCCCGCTGCCTTGGCCCTGGCCCAGGCCAGCCGGGAGCCAATGTATAATTTTGTGGTGGCCATCTTGGCACCTGCCCCGGTGAACCATGCCTTGGCACTTGCCCCAGTCCCACCCCCTTCTGCCAGAGACCCTCAGATCTGTCCCACTCCTGCCCAGGCCCCCACAGGGACCGTTGACGCGAATGATGTAGAACTGGCCACGCCCACCCAGTAGGCCACATCCACTCCATCCACGCCCACCCAGTAGGCTGCACCCACTCTGGCCACACCCACCTGGCCCCCCAAGGGCAACCGCAATGCTGATGCGACCCTCCGTGAAATTGAGTTTGACACCCCTGACCTAAGATATTCTTAAAATCATCCAACTATACATCAAAGTACTGAAGGCAAAACTGTGATTCTAAATACATTTTCCTTCATAAGGAAAAATAATCCTATGTTCTTGTAGAAATAGCAGGTGCATATTATTTCTCAATTTTTCAAGCTATTACTGATGATTAAACACAAATTCGCTATAGGAAGAGGAAGTAATACAACAGAAGTACATGAAATCCCTTAATTAAATGTTCATAAAATGTTTAAGTTTCACATTAAAGGATGATATCTGACATTCAGAGTCTCATAATCATTTTCAGAATTGGCTCATTACTACTTTGGCTGAATTTTGGAGAAAAATATATTATCAGAATTAATCCCCAACTCAAAAGTCACTTTCAGTGACTTACATTTGGAAGAAATAGATCAAAAATTTACAGCCCTATTACAATAATTGCAATAATAGCAATAATACAATAATTCTATTAAGAATCTCTGCTTTCAAACTAAAATTACAGTAAAGCAAACAAACCAGTTTCTTTTAATAAATGTATTAAGGTAGAATTATAGTAGTATTTAGAATAACCACAGGTGGACAAAACAGGAATTGGAACAGGAGTGATTTCGAACTCAAATTTCTGCTGACTTCCCTATTTAGTTTCCGTGCCAACAACAAAGTTGGCACGGAAGCCAGCAAGAAGTCCAAAGCCAGAAGGCAAGTGGCTCTGTTGGGCTCTGTGTGACACTGTGTGGAGGGTATAGGTCAAGAATGGTACATGGAGGTGCACAAGAAGTGCTACATGGGTTGAGTAGGTTGGGGGTGCACAAAGAATGCATGGGACAGTGCTGGGACAGTTGAGATGCCATGCAGTTCAGGGGCGGTGCACAGAGGGATGGCATGGGTTGAGAAGAGTAAGTGGGGATCCCCAAGAGGTACTGCATGGGTTGGGAAAGGCACCTTGGAGGAGCAAAATATGTGGGGGTGCATGAGAGGTGCCACACTGGTCAAAGGAGGCACACAGGGCAGCACAAATTGAAAAATGTGCATGGGGAATGCAAGAGATGCTTGTGGGTTGGGGAAACACACTGGGGTGGGGAATGGCACAAGTCAGGGTACTGTGCAGAGGCTTAGTGACCTTTCGTTGCTAAGTCAAGGACTACCTAAGTTATCTTTTGATGAAGATAAAAATCCCTGGCATACTGTGAAAAATTAATACAGCTGTGGGTCTAGTTGCCGTCTACCATTATGCATTTCACAAAACACGTTTTGAAAAGGCTAGGTTTTAAACTTTATCTAATTTTAATATTGTATATAAAACTTAATGGGTTTATTCTAACAGTTTATATAAGAGCAATTTTATCACATGTGCTTCATCAGACATATGGTAAGACAATTATCAGATAGGATAATTCTGCTGCAATTTATACTTTTGAGAAGCAAGCCATCCATTTCCACCTGAATCCCAGCAGAATAATGCTCCACACATTAATCAAAAGAATGAAATGTGTCACAAGAAATTATTGCTTAATTCAGCATCTAAAATCTTCTAATCTTCTTTTAACCTAAGCAAATTCATTCAGAAATTTCCAATGAATAATTGAAGATATTAAGGTAGACTGAAGACAAGAAGCATGTTTAACAAAAAATAGAATCCTGCAGACAATTAAATCAACTCAAACAACTAAAAGGTATTATTCAAGAGTGTTTCCAAACATACTTATTATTATTCAATTATAACTTTTGGTTATAAGATTATATGTGTAGTTAAATTTATCCAAAATGGGATAATAGCTGAATGATGTACCGCATTGTATGTATACATTTAAAATGACCTTAATTTAAACTTTTAAAGCATTCTATAATTGTAGCACACGTTGTCATTTTTCCATTTATTCTACGCTAAATTGCTGCATTACCAGCTTGAATAAAACACTAACAGTTGAAAACACAGATTTCCATAACACAACATAAAGCACACAAAGGAATTACAATTCCAAGGATGGAAATGTAGGGAACTTGAACTGCCTTCCAGAAGAAATCCACATATTGGTGGATTTCATTGTTTTGTTTTGGTAGCTCAAGTGAACAAACCATTGGAAAGCAGTTGCCAGGGAAAATTTTAAAAATTTAATATGCAGATTAATCTAAATTTGTACAAATCACATAAATATAGTTAGTAGCTGTATTAGCCGAGATGTACTGGTCTTGATTCTAACATTTAATTTAATTAAAGTGAGTATTCACTGCTTACATGGCTGAAATAAAAAGCATTTAGAATGTTTCTTTTACGAAGAAAAATGAAACGTACTTTTCATGGTTCCATCTTCATCTTCTTCATCATCATCATCATCATCACTGTTTATTACCATGGTCCCCAAATCCGATTCTAGCATGGTGCTGTTATGTTCAATCATGGTCTGAGCACTGTCACTCATTGTACTTGTGGCCCTCATTGTACCGGCACTATCAGATGTAGTCTTCACCATGGTNTATGATGGAAAAGACATTCATATATGAAAATGGAGGAGTTCTCTCCTCTTTCATTGGAATGGTTCCTCTGGACTCTGAAACTAAAGAGGAAAAGCTAGCAGATTCTCAGCCACAGTTCATGAAGCTACATGAACTGTCATCCTCCTCTACCTCTACCTGATGAACGCGGAATCAGAGCCTGTCCTTGGGACTGTCAAGCCCTAAATCAGCTAAAGTTTTAATGTTTTTCTGGTTTTGATAACTGCAATATTGTTTGCTGCCCAGAGACAACTGGTCTGAGATGGATCCAAGCTATACAAATTACAGAATACAGAATAACAGGGAAAGGACCTTGGAGGTTTACCAGTCCAATCTCCTGCTCAAGCAGGAGACTCTATGCCAGGCATGTCAAATTGCCGGCATGTGGGCCGGATGTGTCATGCCGAAACCGCGCCCACCCCATTGTTGGCAATGGGGAAAAAGTCCCGATATGTCGCGCAATGTCACGAGTTTGACGTGCCTGCTCTATGCCATTCCAGACAAATGGAAGTCCAATCTCTTCTTAAAATCACCCACAACTTCTGGCCGCAAGCCATTCCACTGATTAATTGTTCTAACTGTCAGGAAATTTAGGTATAAATTGGATTTCTCCTTGGTAAGTTTCCATACATTACTTCTTGTTCTGCCCTCAGGTGCATAGGGTGACCCCCGTCACCCTATGCACCTGAGGGGGTCTTGCTTGTTGTGTTGATGCTGCAACAGCCAAATTTTATTTGCCAACCACCTTCTTTCTACACTAGCTTGGAGAAAAGATGTACACTAATGCTGACTATTTTCTACCAACACTATTTCAAAGAAAATCTGGAAAGAAGGGGAGCAGGATTAAAAGATAGAATGCCTATATATAGCTTCTAATTTATAAATACAAAACACAGAAAACATTTTTTCTGCCATTCCCTCCTGCATACATATTTTGTAGAGCAGAGATTGAAATTATTATTGAACTAAAATGATTATCCCAATCAATATGTTAATCAGAAACGTAATCAACTCACTTATATAAAACTAATAATCTATAATAGTAACAGCAGATGATGCCATGATAATTCCAAGATTTAAAATAATCCTGGAAAGATCTAGCACAGATTAAGCACATCCTATTTACAATGTCATCATTTTACAGTAATTGTATTTTAATATGTTTAATATGTACTTGGAAGTCACTCCAAAATTCTATCCCTTGTAACAGATGACTTTCTACCAAAAATAGAAAAAATGATCCACCAAAATATATCTGTTTAAACAGTAAAATGATGACATGTGATCTACATGCTCATTATTTAATATGAAACAATATGAGATCATATCTATATAGTGTTTAGCAAAGAAACATTTTCTCCCCACAGGCACTAATGTAAAATACATTTGCCTTTTCTAGCTTTTTACTTAACCTAACTAAAAAGAAAAAAGAAACACATCGCATAGATACAGTTAAAATAATTAATTACATTAGTGCTGATGAAATTTTTAATAGCTAGTTTATTAGCTATTAGATCACTTCTAGCTAATGCAGGTTTTATGTCTTAGATCCATTATTAAAACAATGATGCAAATATGAATAACTTGCATTATTACATCTTTTTCTAGCTAATGCCTGTTTTATAACTATCTTGGATCTATTGTCAAAACAATAATAGAAATACAAATAATAAATTGTCCATAGGATACATGCAAGGCTTTAAAAAATACACAAAACCCAACTTCAAATAAAACAACATATACTAAACTGATTTTACAGAACATGATTGCTTCAGCTTTAGAACTGTATAAGAAAAAACATTAGATAGTCCTTTACTTCTGATCACAATTGAGCCCAAAATTTCTGTTGCTAAGCAAGACAGTTAAGTGAATTTTGCCCCACTCTACGACCTTTCTTGCCACCGTTATTAAGTGAATCACAGCTGCTGTTAAATTAGTAACACAGTTGTTAAGTGAATCTGGCTTCCCCATTGACTTTGCTTATCAGAAGTTTGCAAAAGTTGATCACATGACCCCGGGACACTGCAACCATCATAAATATGAGTCAGTTGCCAAGTTGCCAACACTGAATATTCACAAATATCCTAACTTCCTAATGAGAGGTTAGATACATTAATTTCTTCAGTGAGGGAAAGAAAGAAACAGCTAGGATATAAGGAGGAGAAATAATACTATAATGTCTGGTTTAAAAATTGTACTGTAAATTTTAATTATTTGTCAACTGTATTTTCCAGTTCAGAGCTGCACGTTAAACAATAGACTGTATTCAATTGTGTCTTTCAACATTATAAAGATCTTTTACTCAGCAAAGGCTTTTAGGAATGGAAACTATTTTTAAAAAATGACAATTTATTCTGCAATACAATTTCCATACTTCTCCAGAAGTCCTACAATAATTAGGGGATAAAGTAAGATAATTACAATGAAGGCATCTCCAAATATCTTTCTTCTGTTTTCTGCACATGAAATAATTTCAAGGACTTTCTAATATTTCATAGTAATTCAAAAATTGTTTCCTGATTCCAAGTTTAAAATCTTTGGACTGAAACAGGCTTTCCTCCAGTGTAGGAAGAAATGATTCTAAACACACATACTGTACATAGGAACTGTATTTTAGAGAATATGGGAATAAAGTATTACACTTAGTCCCAAATGTATGAGATTATCAGTTTAGAGACAGGAAACCAAAGAGAAAGACCAGGCTACTTCTATTTGAAGATTTAAGTCTCCTATTACAGAAAGCAATATTCCATATGAATATATGCTATTACTGTATGTTTAACACAGTGCATAATGTAATGTGTGCTGAAGATATACAGCATGTTCACATAATTCCCAACCACAAAGAAAAAGATGGAAGTATATACTTGTATCCTGCAGAAATATTAAATCAACAATATTCACATAACATCCATCAACATTAGGAAAGCAAACTGTACATAAGAACTTACAAAATCAAAGTCACCATCCTGGGGAACTTTCCAGTTATCGGGGAAAACATTCTTCGATATGTGATAAGATTCGTGTATATTCTGGTTGCAGTTTTCATTGGCCTTATTTTTGGAATCCTGTTTATCAAAATAGTCCATAAATGAAGGTCGTTGAGCTTGTGGTGATGTAGCGTTTCCTGTTTTGAAAATAAGAAAATAGTCAAAATATGAAGAGAAACCAAAGAGTTCAAAGTGATTGTGCTGGCTGAAAGTTAACATTAATTAATTTTAAAAGTATTAATGCATTTTTACTAGAAATTAAGATAACATGTTACAGTGACAGTACAACCAGGTAGAAGACAATTAGAACAGAACCACACAAAATCATGTTTTAATTAAAGCAGTATACAAATAAGTGAACTATAAGCAACTGATAACCAATTTATGCACTGAAGTTAAATTGAAATGTAATTCCTTTCTATTCAGCAAGTGGCACCACCTTGTTGACCTGACAGTAAGTTAAAACTCAAGGAAATTTTTACTTATGAATAATGCTAAATTAATTTTTATAAAAAGTTATTTTATCATATAATTCATGGTTTTAAAAATTAATAATTATGTAATTGTCCAAAGGAAAATAACACCTTATCTGGCTCTTTAAGACCTAAGACAGACATGTCAAACACAAGGCCCGGCGGCCGGATGCGGCCCGCGAAGTGATTTCATGTGGCCTGTGAAGCCATCCTGGAAACAGTGAGGGAACGGCCCCCGCTGCCTTGGCCCTGGCCCAGGCCAGCCGGGAACCAATGTACAATTTTGTGGTGGCCATCTTGGCACTTGCCCCGGTGGACCATGCCTTGGCACTTGCCCCAGTCCCACCCCCTTCTGCCAGAGACCCTCAGATCTGTCCCACTCCTGCCCAGGCCCCCACAGGCACCATTGACGCGAATGACGTAGAACTGGCCATGCCCACCCAGTAGGCTGCACCAACTCTGGCCACACCCACCTGGCCCCCAAGGGCAACCGCAATGCTGATGCGGCCCTCAGTGAAATTGAGTTTGACACCCCTGACCTAAGATATTCTTAAAATCATCCAACTATACATCAAAGTACTGAAGGCAAAACTGTGATTCTAAATACATTTTCCTTCATAAGGAAAAATAATCCTGCGTTCTTGTAGAAATAGCAGGTGCATATTATTTCTCAATTTTTCAAGCTATTACTGATGATTAAACAAAAATTCGCTATAGGAAGAGGAAGTAATGCCAATTCTTGAAATTCCTTTATATATATATATATATATATTACAATACTATATAACAGAAGTACATGAAATCCCTTAATTAAATGTTCATAAAATGTTTAAGTTTCACATTAAAGGATGATATCTGACATTCGGAGTCTCATAATCATTTTCAGAATTGGCTCATTACTACTTTGGCTGAATTTTGGAGAAAAATATATTATCAGAATTAATCCCCAACTCAAAAGTCACTTTCAGCGACTTACATTTGGAAGAAATAGATCAAAAATTTACAGCCCTATTACAATAATAGCAATAATAGCAATAATACAATAATTCTATTAAGAATCTCTGCTTTCAAACTAAAATTACAGTAAAACAAACAAACCAGTTTCTTTTAATAAATGTATTAAGGTAGAATTATAGTAGTATTTAGAATAACCACAGGTGGACAAAACAGGAATTGGAACAGGAGTGATTTCGAACTCAAATTTCTGCTGACTTCCCTATTTAGTTTGCTTATGGGAAGCTTACAGGGAGAAAGTTGGCACGGAAGCCAGCAAGAAGTCCAAAGCCAGAAGGCAAGTGGCTCTGTTGGGTGGGGGAATGTGCGACACTGTGTGGAGGGTACAGGTCAAGAATGGTACATGGAGGTGCACAAGAGGTGCTACATGGGTTGAGTAGGTTGGGGGTGCACAAAGAATGCATGGGACAGTGCTGGGACAGTTGAGGTGCCATGCAGTTCAGGGGCGGTGCACAGAGGGATGGCATGGGTTGAGAAGAGTAAGTGGGGATGCCCAAGAGGTACTGCATGGGTTGGGAAAGGCACCTTGGAGGGGCAAAATATGTGGGGGTGCACCAGAGGTGCCACACTGGTCAAAGGAGGCACACAGAGCAGCACAAATTGAAAAATGTGTATGGGGAATGCAAGAGATGCTTGTGGGTTGGGGAAACACACTGGGGTGGGGAATGGCACAAGTCAGGGTACTGTGCAGGGGCTTAGTGACCTTTCGTTGCTAAGTCAAGGACTACCTAAGTTATCTTTTGATGAAGATAAAAATCCCTGGCATACTGTGAAAAATTAATACAGCTGTGGGTCTAGTTGCCGTCTACCGTTATGCATTTCACAAAACACGTTTTGAAAAGGCTAGGTTTTAAACTTTATCTAATTTTAATATTGTATATAAAACTTAATGGGTTTATTCTAACAGTTTATATAAGAGCAATTTTATCACATGTGCTTCATCAGACATATGGTAAGACAATTATCAGATAGGATAATTCTGCTGCAATTTATACTTTTGAGAAGCAAGCCATCCATTTCCACCTGAATCCCAGCAGAATAATGCTCCACACATTAATCAAAAGAATGAAATGTGTCACAAGAAATTATTGCTCAATTCAGCATCTAAAATCTTCTAATCTTCTTTTAACCTAAGCAAATTCATTCAGAAATTTCCAATGAATAATTGAAGATACTATATATTAAGGTAGACTGAAGACAAGAAGCATGTTTAACAAAAAATAGAATCCTGCAGACAATTAAATCAACTCAAACAACTAAAAGGTATTATTCAAGAGTGTTTCCAAACATACTTATTATTATTCAATTATAACTTTTGGTTATAAGATTATATGTGTAGTTAAATTTACCCAAAATGGGATAATAGCTGAATGATGTACCGCATTGTATGCATACATTTAAAATGACCTTAATTTAAAGCATTCTATAATTGTAGCACACGTTGTCATTTTTTCATTTATTCTACGCTAAATTGCTGCATTACCAGCTTGAATAAAACACTAACAGTTGAAAACATAGATTTCCATAACACAACATAAAGCACACAAAGGAATTACAATTCCAAGGATGGAAATGTAGGGAACTTGAACTGCCTTCCAGAAGAAATCCACATATTGGTGGATTTCATTGTTTTGTTTTGGTAGCTCAAGTGAACAAACCATTGGAAAGCAGTTGCCAGGGAAAATTTTAAAAATTTAATATGCAGATTAATCTAAATTTGTACAAATCACATAAATGTAGTTAGTAGCTGTATTAGCCGAGATGTACTGGTCTTGATTCTAACATTTAATTTAATTAAAGTGAGTATTCACTGCTTACATGGCTGAAATAAAAAGCATTTAGAATGTTTCTTTTACATTCTTTTTACTTTGCATGAAAAGTACCAAGGTAGAAGTAGAAGAAGTAGTAGTAGTAGTAGTAGTGACAAATAATGGTACCAGGGGTTTAGGCTAAGATCGTACCACGACAATACAAGTTAGTACCAGACTCGTGACAGTGAGTAACATGAACACCGGGAGTAACATGGCCGTGATAGTCTACATCAGAAGTGGTACCAGTGGGAATCGAGCTCATCTTCATCCTGCAAACAAAAAAAGAAATTACCTTCAAAAACATGCTGATGTTAAGAACACTGGCCTTGAGAAGACCAGGGCATTGCAAAGTATTTGAAAGAGTACTTTATAAAACATATTGCTGCAAGGAAAACACACCCAAAAGCAGTAGAGACATTCCCTAGAAGGGCCAGCACCAGATGTTCAAGGAATTTTCTCAAGCTGTGTCCTTTTCTCATAACAGCCACACAAAGTCTTTCTACAGGCCACCATTCCCCAAATACTTTGGGAAGGAATGTATTATTCATATGAAGATACTTTGCAAGCCTCCCCCCCCCCTCACCTTTCAATGTAATATGCTGGAATAAATAGTTTAAGATTCTGTTCCTTGTAAATTTGGGGGGGAGGGGTGTTCTTTCTTATGTTGATGTTTTTAATCTTATAAGCTAGGCAGAGTTGCTTGATGTGTGGGCAGTCTTAGAAACTGAAGAGGTAATATGTTATTTTAATTATTTTTCATTAAATAGTAATAAAAACAAATAATAAATCTCACTGAATATAACATACTGAAATGCCTAAGACAGTGGTGGCGAACCTATGGTACGGGTGCCAGAGGCGGCACTCAGAGCCCTCTCTGTGGGCACGTGGGCCATCGCCCCAGTCCTAGGCCTTCAGCTGGGTTTTATAAAACCTTTTCGCTTTAGGCCTCCGCTGCCATGTGCAAAAAAAAAAAAAAGGTTCAATCAATCAGTCAATTTCAACTTCTCGCAGGAAAAAAAAAGATCTTGCAAAGTTGGAATTGATTGATTGAACTTTTTAGTCCCACCCAGTCTGCCGTTACCACCGCAGCCATGCCCAGCCAATGGGCCACACCCAATTGGCCACATCCAGCCAATGGGCCACACCCACCCAGCACCCGATGATGCATATGTGGGTTTTGGGTTGCAGTTTGGGCACTCGGTCTCTAAAAGGTTCGCCATCACTGGCCTAAGACTTAAATTTAGTTGCTTGCTCTCAAAGTGTACACATACATAACACACATTTAAACATACTATATACAACATATGTATAGACCTACACCCTTACATATAAGTAACATATAAATATTAATCACTGTCCATCTTGAATACATAACGGAAGGAGGAAGCTTGAGAGTTCACAAGGTTAATACTGTATGGAACAAAACTGTGACTGAATCTGGATGCTCTGCTTTGGATACCACAAAGCTTCCTCCCAGAAGGTAACAAAGAAAGTTTTGTAAGCTGCCAAGAGTTTTAAAGGTTTGGCAGGATATAATAAGGATAACAAAAACTTGATTTTTTTCCTTCCAAAAAATAATTTTATTTTTGAAATTGAACCATTTTTACTCATACCTAAAGACCTACCTGAATCAATTAACACTTGCTAATATGAAACTATTCTCTCATTTATTTTAATGGATCAACACCACTGAGTAAGACTGGGTCCAGTCCAGTTTGTGCTCATTTTATTGCTCACTGTACCAAGTTAATCCAAAGCATCTTTGGAAACATCCTTTAGTAACACTAAAGCATATATTTCTACAAAGCCATAGCAGAAACTAAAAAACATGGAAAACTGATATACAAATCTGTTTTAAATCATATTATGGGGTCATTAGTATGATTCCATTTATTAGCATTCCAGGACCTCGGGCAATTAAATTTTCCAGCTCTACTGCTTCAGAGTCTTTGAACCAAACACTATTAAGGACTGAATCTGGAACTTTCTCCATGATTTTTTTTTTCTTTTTTCTTTTCTTTTTTTCTCCTATGGAATAGCCATAAGATTATAGTGGACAAGTACTCTGTAAATTTAAACTTTTTTTTTTTCAAAAATCCATCTCAACTGGCAAGGCAACTTCTCTCATTTGTATACAAAGCATTTGTTAAAGTCATGATAAAAGGGGCAAGAAGAAAACTTGCTGATGCTTTGTAGAAAAGTATCTGCTGAGCAGATGCTTCAGGACTGTGGAACTGAGTTAATTCCAGCAAAGAATACAAAAGCATTTCCAATCAGTGGCAGTAATGTGCCAAGAATGTAAAACAGAGAACTGATGATAATCCAGATCATGAATCATAAAACCCATATGGAATAGAAGCATTTGAAAACATTATTAGGAAATCCTACTCTCTTTCTGAAGTCAGATGTAGAGGATATGCACAAAATCTAAGCTATTTAAGGACTAACATGCTGTTCTATGCCTTAAGTGCTTTTACAAGGGCATATTCTACTATCCACAAAAAAAACATCAGAATGTAGAAGAGCTGCTTGTATAAAACCTTTCAAGTAAGTGTCTAATTTTAGATGAGTCAACTAAAAAGAAAATTCCTGACTTCAGTTTGCTTTGGCAGTCAAATGAGATCAACCAAGTATGCTTCCAAAACCTATTCTGACATCAGCAAGTTTACAAAATTCCCTACATGTTTCAATAACTGATAGAAAAGAATCAAATATTAATGAATGCCATGAATCCCATCATGAGAAACATTCTTTAGTTCTCGGAGACAAGGAGGAATCATCTTAGGAAATACTATGTCAGATGATACCCATAGAATATTTTAAATTATCATTTATGAGGGTAAGACAAATCCTGCTTAAAAATAGAATGACACTGGTCTTTTACGGAATTTTTTCCCTCTTCAACACTGTTTTCCCTCTTAAGCCCTGCTTTTTCTTCTTCTTTTTCCCTGTCCTAATGAGATATAAATACTGCTTTTATTTTCATACATTGGATTATATCCAGTGATAACTTTGAGGTGGCGGTAGACATACCTATGTAAGAGAAGATATTTATTTCAAAGAATTCTGTCTATATAACGCAACTAGCTGCTTCCAAAGAGTTGCTTCCAAGCACCGGGAACTATATTTGAACAGTGTATTGTGCTGTTTGGGACACGTCATAATAAGTAAGCTAAAGCAGCAAAAACTGAATGCTTTACTTCACATGAGCAGAAGATTTTTCTATGTAAGGTTTCAACTGGATACAATCCAATAAATAATCCAAGTGCCTTAGAGGGAGTCATAAAATTACTGCATTTTAAAATAAAAGATAAACCAAATAACATATAACGAATGATACTTCTTTTAAAACAGACACCTAGAACTGCAATTCTATGCATGACGTACTTATAAAGCATTTAAATTTCATTTTACACACAGAGGTGTGATGTCTGTCTATATGTGTATACAATCATATTTATTAGCTGAAACATCTCATTTTTCACACTGAAGAGTATCAAGAACATTTTACCTCATTCATATTTATAGTTATTTAATTAACATAATCTAAAACTCTGGATCAGAATTGCATCTGTACAAAATATTTGCACTGACAAAATAGGTTTTTTTTAAATGAATGGAAGCATCCCTGAAAAAGATTTGTAGTTTATTTATAATATAATGTTAGTTGCATGTAACCTTAAAATTCTAATTCTGAAGTTTCATTAACTGAACAATTAACTTCTTTTTGAATGTCAGCCACTGACTCCAAATGTGAAATCAATTTGAATTCATATATAATTTGAACACTGGCAACCTGTTAATTGAGAAATCATTTCCATTAATTTTATTTTCTAGATGTTCAAAATTTTCATTTGAGACTCCAGCTATTTGAAGTCAAGAAGGTACGGTTTACATCTTCTTGAGTATTCCAAATACCTATACATTTCTTCTGTTTTTTGCTAATATTTTCTGCCTTCAATTCATTTTTTTCCTAGAATAAAAAGTCATGATTTTTCTGTGTTTGCTATTTCTCTTATGAATGTTTTTTTAACCCACATTTTCTGTTCATTCTCTTTTCTAGTCTTAATCATCATTTCCAAAATTCATTGCTATAATATTGCATGTCACCCTCTGTCTTTATGGAACATTTTCTAAAGAAAGTAGAATTTTTTATTTCTTTTAATTATTTTATAAAATGCCATATGTAAATATGTCAAACTATTTTATATAATTAATTGGAATTTGATTCAATGGTACACTTCTAATGTACCATTTTCAACAAGAAATGAAGAAAGTGATTAAAATCCAAAATACTTCCTTCATAAAAAGAAGCTTTAATAAACCTGGAATTTTCAGATTATGAGAAGTCTCCACTAGTTTGCAAGAAATTATCTTAAAACATTAATACACTTCCTTAAAGTTCCTCTAAATTAAATTAGAGATAAAATTGTAATGAATTATTGTTATTTAACTGCAAAAGCTTTTTTTTCTCTCAAACTTCACCACATACATGTGGTAGATTAAATTCTATCTACTGAAGAATATGCTCACATAAGTACAACCATGTTTATTTGACAAATAAATAAATGATGACTAATTCTAAAAATTCTATTTAATATTTAGGAAGTTTAATGGATTGCATTTAATAAATCTTTTCATAACATGCCAAGCTCTAATTTTATGGGTTTTTTTGCTGAGTTATGAAAATATCCAAACAGAAGAACAATAGGTTGCTCGCTAAAACAAAGTTTTGTTTTATGAATGTATGAGAATATACTGGATACTTTTAAATAGCAAATGGCAATCTAATTAGCAACATATCAATGTTATACATACATTCAGTGATAAACAACAAATAGCATAAACTATGTATCATTTTCTCAAAAATTATACTATTTATTATCATATACATTTGCTAAATCCTCTATTATTTATAGACACAAAACTGCATTTAAAAAAATACAGTGTTCCTTACTGTGCAGTTTCCAACGTGACATTCAAAGAACAGAGGTACATAATGGCAACCAAACAGAACTGGCACACCCTTGACCTAGAGAATTTTTCGATTGTTTAGCATCTTCTTTACATCTTTTAACATCTACTGGGGGGGGGAGGGAGAGGGACAGTTTTACAGATTTTCTTAAGAAATGTTTACAGAAAACATGGTATTTCTTTTTTTAACCAGTTAGAAGACCTCAATCACTGTCTAGACATAAGAAAGAAGTGTATCCAGGCAGCAGCATACACGGTGAGATCATATGAAATGTCTGATGAAAGCAGTACTGCAAGATAAACACTTCTCTCTCTCTCTCTCTCTCTCTCTCTCTCTCTCTCTCTCTCTCTCTCTCTCTTTTTTTTTTTATTTGCATTGTGGCCTCACACACATGTCCCAAAGAGGGAGTTTGGTGGTGATGACAATGTAATACTGCTTTCAATTTGAGAGAAAGCAGCAGAAACCCAGGTAAGAATCTAAATCTCAATCCAAGCAAAAATGAATTATGTGTGCTGAATTGATACCAGGACTGGTCTAAACATATAAACCATTTCCTTCTTTTTAGTAATAGTTCGCTCACCAATGGTTCAAACACTGATCCAGGAAAATCAGACAATCTTCATTACAGGTAATCTTTACTTAGTGGCCACAACTGGGACCAGCAATGTTATTGCTGCACATGTATATGACATGACTGCAATGTGCATATGACTTCACTTCCCATTCAGTCATTAAGTGAATCACTGCAGCTGTTAAGACGTCATGTGACCACAACTTGTGATAGCTCTTCAGCGTACTCCATTAATTCTGCTTGCCAGAAGCCAGTTGAGAAGGATGCAAATGACAAACACATGGCTGCACACCAGTTATAAATGTGCGTCATTTCTGAAGCATTGAAATGGGGAAATCACATTATTGTGAGACACTGCAACAGTCATCAATACAAGAATTAGTCACAACTGTTCAACTGTCGTAACTTCAAACAATTGCTAAATGAGGCAGTTGATAACCAAGGCCTATCTGTAACATACTAGCTGCATCAAGAAAGTAAGATCCGGGTCTTTACTAATTCCCATGTGCAAAACTGCACTGTACTCCATGAGAAAAGTGTGCCTTAAGAGGGATTAGAGACTGAGAGTAATTTAAAAAGGGTAATAAGCATTCTCTATCTTTCACTAACCATACTGGCTTCTAATTTCTTTCTAAGGGCAAATAAAAACAGTATTTCTTTCTTATTAAACTTAAAAAGAGTTTAGCTACAGCTACATAAACTCTCCTACATAGCTAGCACCAGGAAAAAATCAGTTTGGTACAGAAATTATCCTGTGGAATTACCTGGATTAAGAAACGTTCTCTTTATGGAACGAGATTGGCTTCACCTTTGTTCAGTTTTAAGTGGTTTCTCCCCATCTAATTTGGTCCAGTTCAGGATGACCCTAACTCTTTTTTGTAAGGCTCCAAAAGTATGAAAGGCCTTGTTTCCTGGCTATGTTGACATTTATGATGACATGTTTTCTCAGCTTCCATTTATATTTAATTTTATACTATGTTTTAACTGTTTTTAATTGTTTTATGACTGTTCACTGCCCAGAGTCACTTGTTTGAGATGGACAGCTATAGAAATTGAATAAATTTTGTTGCTGAAATTTAATTCTTGATTTTATCAATGATTTTTTCTCTTAATTTATTTGTATTTTTTTAGTTTTAAAGTTACACTGTTAAATGCAATTCACCTTCTAGGGTACCATTTGTACTAGATACATTTTATTAGAACAGAGCAAGCCTTTTCTGAACAACTCTCAGAGAAATTTAACTATTTCTTTGTATCCTTGCAATTATGAAAACTAAGCGAGAAAATGTGCACTAGAGGGCAGCAAAGACAGTTGAGTAGATTGCAATGTTCAACTTTTGAAACTTGTACAGTATAAGAACAAAAACCTTGTTCAACACAAATCACTGTCATTAAAAAATAATGCAAACATAGTTACTACAGCATTTCAATAAACTTCCTTAGCAGCTATATGAATATATATACAAGACTGCATAATGTAGAAGAATTAAACCAGCAGACTCTAAAAGAATCCAATTATTGATTATTTCAGTAATGCATACATTATTTCTAATGATTCCAATAAAACTACACTAAGGACCATGTATCAATCAGCTACTTTACATGTTAGAAGCATTTCTATTGTCCCAGAGGAGAAACTTAATTTTTTTAAGTTCTCTATTTTTTTTAACTCCCTCAGTTGTTGATGTTGCTTTTAATAGTGTTTGCTATTTAGGGACATAAAGTTGTAGAAATCACTCACATGGCAGAAAGTATACTACACTGAAAAGATCACTGTAATTTTTTTTGTCAAATATTATAAAAATGTATAACCTGAATTTATTAACTTGAAGTGTTTTAAGTAATACTCTGATAATTTACATAAAAATAATTTATATGATCCAGTAATTTTTGATTATTATTAATTTGACAAATGATCCATAGAAAAATATTTTGACATGTTTTTGAAGGCTGCCAGGCAACAAATTCCTTTATATTTTCATAATACAGCTGCCCAACATCAGAATCAAATTTTCATCACACTTCAAAAATACATAAAATCTATACAATTACTACAGCTCCTATTAAAATATATCAATTTGCCAGAACATATCCTCATCAGATCAGTTNGGGATTGTATCCAGCTTAGCTTTAAATGGAAAGAAACTGGTACTTGATTATGAGAGATTCAAACACTACAAGTATTTTATTCAAGCTTTCAAAATGATTATTTTTAATTAGTATAGCCATTTTACTTTAATAAACATCTACACTTCAAAAATTATAAGAATTGCTTATGTAAATAAAGTAAATTAAATATACTAAATTGTATGTGTCACCCGACATCCAGCAACCCTGAGCAATTTATAAATGACTTAAAATATTTTAAAAAGACAATAAAAAACAAGAAACATGGGAAAGACAGAGATGGGAGAATACCAAAGAAAACAGCCTAGGAGACTTCACTTATCCTCACCAAAGACCTGGGCAAAAAGCCAAATCTTCACGCCCTTTTGAAATACCAACAGGGTGGGGACCATTCGGACTTCAGAGGGAACTTAATTCCAGACAACAGCCACCACAACAAAGGACAGCATGATATCAGGATCCCAATAGATGACATTGCTTAGTTGAAAGAATTCAGAGCACATCAACCCTGTCAGATTGAATTGGACAGACAGATACTATAGGAGATAGACAGTCGCTCAAGAAATTAGATCCTGTGCCATGTTTCAGAGTCTTTAAGAGTCACTTAGACTCTTAGATTTTAAGAATCATTTTTAATTAATTCACTCCTTAAATCAAGAGCATCTCCTTTGAGGCACACACAGAAGCCTGCTTTAATTAGTAACAGGGATGCTGTGTTTTTATGAAGTCCAAGGAACAGTAAGGAAATGTATCCTAAATTTATTTACAAGTTGAAAAATAATATTAATTTAAGGGTCTTTTTGTTATATGCGTGTCTCTAAAAGTATTTAAGTCAGAACTAATTTTAATAACTTTCTAACCAATTTGTAAAAGTTACCGCTTGTTACATGTCTAGTAAGAGAGATTAGAATAAGAAATTTTATTTTATCAACGCATGCAGGCCAACATAATGCCACACCTTTCACCTTTGATAATTACGCTGCTTTTCATATTATTGAGAAATCTTCATCAGGTAGAAGGGAAGATTGTTAGTACTCTGTAGGTAGATAGCAAAATTAAACTAATTTTCTAATGCAAATATTTTGAGTTGTGTCTTGCTAAATCAGCATCTTATTGTAAAAAAACATAGTGTAAATATCTTGGTTAAGCCACCAGATATAAATTAATGATATATTCCATTACACCTAACATATATTCAACCTGATGTTTGTATCTGGCAATGTTATTTTGTTTCTAACATGTTCCTAAAAATGTTCTTTTAAAATAAAAGAAAGAAAGAAAGAAAGAAAGAAAGAAAGAAAGAAAGAAAGAAAGAAAGAAAGAAAGAAAGAAAGAAAGAAAGAAAGAAAGAAAATGCACAAAATTAACCGTATCAGAATTATTAGAATGTCTAATTAGTCACTAAAAGCTTGTACACTTTTATTATTATTTTTCCTAGAAATTCTAGTCCTAATGTACTCAGATCTTGAACTTACAACCATTCGTACAGAGACCATTCAAAATTACAAAGGCACTGAGAAAAGTGACTTATGACCAGGCTTTACATTTACAAATGACTCAGCATCCCCACAGTTCTGCAATCAAAATTTGGGTGCTAGGAAAGCAGCCTGTATTTATTATAGTTACAGCATCCTGGATCAGGGGATCGCTATTTGCTACCTTCCTAGCCAGCTTCCAACAAGCAAAATCAATGAGAGGAAGCCAGATTTGCTTAACAAATGCATGACTCATTTAACAATCGCAGTGCTTTACTTAATAACTGTGGCAAAAAAGGTTACAAAAATCAGATCTGACACACTTAACAGCTGAGCAACAGAAATTCTGATCCCAATTGTGGTCCTAAGAACTAACTATATAACCTTCTCCCCAAGTATTTCATGAAAGATTCCTGTGAACCCCTATCATTATTGAGCTACATGGATGAACACTATGGAAACAGAACTCTATAATTTGACGTGTGGCAAAACATAGCCCTATTTAGAGAGAGGGCACTTTGGATCTTTGCATTCATTCAACTCTTTTAGCAGATGTTCCCATAGAATGTGTTCTCCCATACATTCAAGGATCAGCTAACAAATTGGTAACAATGTTTTTTAAAAAAGGAACTGAAAATCGTTGTTCATGTGCTACTTAAATTCTACACACACAAACACAAACATATCAATTTTAAAAATCAAGAAAACATTTTTGTCACAAACTGCTTTTTGAACTGGGGATTGTCAAGGAGGAAGGAAACTCAGAAAAAAAAATAAGTGATATAGCATCCTTCTCAATCAGAACTATATTACTTAAATATGTTGATAATTTAACAGGCCAAAAGTAATTTGAAAACTTAATTAAATTTTCACACACCGAGTTTTCATCCTCTTCTTCCAGTTCCCTCTGTTGTTCTTCATGCTTTTTGGTCTTAATTTCCATAGCTTCAGTAATCAGGTCTCTCAGAATTGAGACTTGCTTGGCATTTTTAATAAAAGGATGCTAGAAAATAAACGCATACGGTTATACAACATGGAGCCTACAGACAATCTGTATTCACAGTATAAATAAAGTAACATGTTAGAACAACATGCCAATCAACTTCACAGACCAGCAGGAGAGAGCATTTCCCTTTGGACAGCAATTAAAATCTGGAATAAGAGAGCATATGATCTGTTTAACTGCTTTACAACTAAATAGGATTTTCCTTTTTGTTTGTTTAGGTAAACAGCAACCATGAGAAGAATGTTACAACAAAACACAACTGCTTTACAGTTAAGGATATAATTGTCCAAAGGAAATGTGAATTAACTGGTAAATAAACAAATAGAAGATAGCCTGACATAGAAAAATAAACTTTATAATGCATTCAGTTATATCATTTTAATTCATTTTAACAAGCTGACAGAGCAAATTAGCAGTCATAAGCAGAGCAGCCACTATAGCATGAGAAACCTGTATTCCAACAGAATACAAATCACTGAGTGATTGGCAATGATGAAATATAAATGAAGCAAAATTAAAATCATCAGGATGGGCAGTTGAAATACAACAAAAACAAATTTATTTAAAGACAACTTATACTCCTGTTTAAAAAGACGCCCATCCTCTCTATCAGTACTGTGAATTTGGCCCTTACTAGAACACACCCCTAGGAACAGTTGGTGGTGAAGGATGTTGAAAACTGAAGCTCAGCAACATCTGGAGTTTCACAGGATACCTACCCTAAAAATCATTACTCATTTCCTGCACACAGCACTGATACCCTCCCACAAGACTGTGCATGAGTTCCAGAGATACAAGCTTCTTTTCAGTTGTGGATATACAATATGGAAAGTGGTCTTTTTCGCTCATATTATATAGTCAATACTTTGTGATTGCCAAATTAAATGTTGCTGTGTAATAGGGGCCATGACATCAGTTAGGAAAAATGAACTTGCCCAAGTTTAACAACAGTAAAATTATGCTCTTTTTGTTCCTGTACTGTCCAGAGACTGCTTTTCTTTTTCTAAATGTTTTTTTGTTGATTTTCCACTTAATGCACACATCCATTATAACAAAGAACTGTTATATAGATCACAGGTGCCCAGCCTGTGGGGCATGGCCCACTACCGGGCTATGGGCTATTGGCCACTGGGCCGTGTGAATGGTTGGTCTGTGCACGTGTGTGCGTGCAGGCACGCGCAAAGCCCCACTCACACGAATGACGCCACGAGCATTGCGGGCATTCACAGCCCCACTCATGCGAGCATTGCTGTGAGAGTCACGGGTGTTTACAGTCCAACTCGTGTGAGCATCGTCGCATCATGGACCCATTCATGCGAGCATCACAGGCATTCATGGCCCCACTTGCGCACGCATTATTGAGGGCTCTCACAGCCCTACTCGCACAATAGATGTTCATGCTCACGCACATGCGTTCACCTGCACACACAAAACCATCCCTTCTTTCCCCACTCCCTCACCGCTCCAGGCCACCTGAACGATTGGGGAACTCTGATATAGATAACATTTCTGTATAACAATTACATTCTTCTGTAACATTATAATTGCTACCAGGGCTATACTTGACCAAAAAAAAAAAAATCACCAAAAATGAGGGGCTTTTGAAATCATTTCTTAACTTTCCCAAAAGAAAAAGATTACAGAGCAAAGTCTTAAAAGTATTATAACTAGATAAAATATACAAATAAAAATTAGCACGAAGACCAAATATCTGTTTATTATGCAATATAAAAAATATAAACTAAAAAGAAAGGGTGACACAGGCAAAAAGGAAGGATGAAAAGAAGAAACAATGAGAATGAAAAGGGTTGGATAATTCATATCCAAATGTTCTGGCTAGTGAAAATTGTTTAAAAAAATACTGTTTGGAGCAGGAAACTGCACTGACTATTGACTACAGTAATACTGACTGCAGAGATAGCATTACTGTAAATGTAACATGTTCAAAACAAACATGTTTGAATACCATATAAGTAGGTGGAGAACTCCGGGCAAATCAAAAAGATTCCTCAGATCTGCTTTTCTGAAAGAATCAACCACTTGCTAAGAGATCTTCCTTTTCTTGCTTACCAAGCAGTTCAAGAAACTAATTACAGTGAACCCCTATTACTCATGGGGAAACTCTGAACAATTTTCTGTCAGCTATTAAGTAGAGAAAAAGTAATTCAGTGGGGGTAAACAGGGAGATTTTCATCTTATTGAGCACACATGCAAACTTTCCCAGGCTGATGGCTACTTTTAAAAAAATAACTGCATACAGTACTGACCTGTAGAAGGTGAGTTGCAGTAGCTCTTTGCTCAGGATTTTTCACTAAACATTTCTTCACAAAGTCAGTGAATTCATCAGACCAAAGCTCTGGCTTCCGGAATGTTGGAGGGGGATTTGTGGGAATCATAAAAATTGCCTGGAAAAGGGGGGGGGGGAGATATATTTATTTATTAAATAAATAAATAAATAAACAAGACAGTCACTATTTCAATAATAGAAGTAAGAAGTGCTTCAGGACCCAGCTTCCCTTACTACCTACATTCGGTGCAGATAGTACAATGCTAGATCTCACTAGAATTGTGGAAATGATGGTAACTACATTTTTGCAAAAAAAAAAAAAAAAAAAGCATCCATTAACATTTTACACATTGAAATTACACCGTGTGTCATATCATTTCTCCAAGTCAGTTCAAATATTCTAATATTTATTTTTCTTGAATATGTCATAGATACTAAGTTCTTCACCACATGTAAAAGGATTAATCTCTGCTATAACTATTTTTTTTAACAGTTATACAGAAGGATACCTTGACTTAAGCAAAAATGATACAATTTATTCTCTTTAAATGTTTGTATCTCCAAATTAATTTTTTACTGGTCTAAATGTTAAAGAATACTGAAGATATGTTTTCGCTTCTAACCTTGACAATTACCAGTTTTTGAATTCAGATTCAGTAAATTACCACATTATCTTCAACTTAACAAAGGAAACTTGTAATAGCTTTCAGAAGTCCATAAGAAAAAGTTGTCTTAAATACCATTTTTATAGCATTGGCATCATAAAATAAGCTTGGTCTATATAATAATTAACACTTCTCTATGACAAACTGACTCAGTATAAATTTTGCCACATAAGCTATGACATACATATATAATAAAAAAGATTGTAGCCTTTCAAGATGTTCTGATAGCTATTTGGGAATGATATTGTTGAAAAATATAATTTAAACTACTGAATTTAACCATCTGCCCAGTGCAGGAATCCAGGTGAAAGCATCCCTGATAAATCTTTGGTTCTAATGTTATTGTTTGAAAGTTTCTTCTAGTATTTAATCTGAATCTGCCTTTCAATAGCTCCAGACCTTATTCCATTATCTAGAATGGTAAGGTTTGAGTTTCTTCCCTGTGCCATGCTTAGGATGATAATA